AGTACCCCATCAGACCTGAAGCTGTTAAGGCAGTTAAAGAGACTGCGAAAGATTTGGAGAAACAAGGGGAGAGACATGATTGTATCCCCCTCTTTGGAGCAGGGAGAAGAAAGACAGAGTCGTGTCAAGGAAGAGCCATTAGAGGGTCCATTTGTGAAATGCATTTTTGTAGACGGGGTGCGGATGGATTATCATGGTTAGGCCCAGACAGGGTGGACCATGGTTAATTTGAAAGGGGAGCTTTTAGCAGGAGAGAGAAGAGAAGGATGTCACTCCACAGAGGTAGCTGAACTTACTGCAGCCCTGAAGTTACAAAGAGGACAAAGGGTTAATATCTACACAGACAGCAGGTATGCCTTTGGCGTAGTCCATGACTACATGATGACGTGGGCAAGGCAAGGTTATGTTACTTCGAATGGTAGTGTAATCCAGCATGAGAACCTAGTCAAGGACCTAATGGCTGCAACTATTGAATCAAAAGAAGCAGTAATTAAAATAAAAGCACACAGGAAAATTTGAACACCAGAGCAGACAGGGAATAGTTATGCAGATAGCACAGCACAAGCAATGTTAGAACAGGAAGTGATAACGAAAACAGCTGTGAGACAGCATGAAGCCAGAGATGACGAATGGAACACTTTAAATTTACAACCAGTGGCCAGTTTAGAAAAATCAGAATGGATAAAAGGTGGGGCATCGTTAGGAGCAGACGATATTTGGAGAAAAGGAGGCAACGTGGTAGCCCCCACATTCTGCCAGCAGATGTTATGCAATATTTACAATGGATTAGTGCACATAAGAAAAATAAAATGATACAGTTGATATCTAATTGCTGGTGATGGAAAAGAATACAAAGAGACAGAGCCAAATTTTGTCAAAGATGCACTGTATATGCACAGCCAGAACCAGGACAGGGAATTAAAATTAAAGTGAGCCATCAGCCCTCTCCAAGGGGACCATGGGAACACATTCAAATGGATTTCATACGGCCACTCCCACAAAGTCAGAACAAAAAAGTCTATCTGGTCATGGCTGACCAGATGGATTGAAGCTTTCTCCACAAAAGACAGTACTGTAACCTCAGTGGCAAAAAATACTGGTAGCAGAAATAATACCTAGGTGTGGGGTCCCCCTACAAATAGATTCAGTTCAAGGGACCCACTTCACTGGCAAGAGCCTGAAGGAAGCATGTAAACCACGGGGAATGACACAAAGGTACCATATCCCCTACCATCCACAGAGTTCGGGGACGGTACAGCAGATGAACAGAACACTGAAAAATGCTCAGACCAAGGCAATAATAGGAGAAGGGGTTAAATGGACCCTTTCCATGTCAGCCATTGTGATGGCTCTTGAGGAACAACTCACACACTGACAGGACTGACTCCTTTTGAATTAATGACGGGTCGGACCATGAGCCTGCTGCAAGACCTGATATGGGGGCACCGGGAATGATCAACACGAAAGGATGGGTTTGAGAACGTGTTCATCAACTTTGCTTGCATCTCCGACAGCTGAAAGACCAGGCAAACCAGCTACAGCAGGTTCATGATTGGGAACTAGGGGGAATGTCCTCAGTTCGCCTGACAATAGGCCATGGACATGGTCTTAGTTCATGTACTGCCTCCAAAAGGGGGGCTCAGCCCTAAATGGAATGGACCCTACAAGGTGATTATCACAGGTGATGGTGAAGTTTTGGTCGACGGAGGGAATAGGCAAGTGGAGACACCCTTCACAACTGAAAATATTTAATAGTTAACAGCATTGGCAAGGCCTCACATCAGTGTGTTTACCTTGTGTCTCCACAGGACCCTTTTCCTTCTCACCAGAACAGGAATAAACCTCGGAGCACACAGCACTCCAAAATCACTGATGCAGCCATAAATGACTCAAGGATTACTGATACATACAAAGGACAAAGTAAAATCCGATTGCAAAATAAGAGCGCGAGTTGCAATGACAGGAACTTGTATGTAGCTGATGGAAACCCTCCTAAATTAACCTGTGTAGATGGCTTTCCACTGTTAACATGTATACATCTAAAAGGCCGTATGTGGTGCCCCTCTCCTTTGAAAACAGCTGATTGCGGCCCTCCTTGATCTTAACTGCAACACCATATTCATCTTTGGTGTACAAAGCTAACACAATTATGTGAGCCCTACTATAATCTTGTACGTGGGCAAAACTCATATCAGTTTCAGCTTGCTGGGGGACACATCTACATGGATCCAGTGAAGCATTGACTCTCTCCAACTTTTCAACTGCACTATTGACTACCAGACATGCATCTGCTTTACCAATGGCATTACACCTGCCCAACCAACTGTAGCAGGGAAAATTTTACCTATCATAGTGCGACACAGTATACCATACGATATGGTCTTCCCTCCAACTGCTCTGAAGACCGCATTACCCCTGTCGGGGATAATGGTATGATCCCCATGGATACAGACAAATATGTTATCCCTAACTCCTCACTGACCACAACCCATTTACTAATTAAATTTAATCTGGAACTACCACCCAACTGTACCGAGCTATTGGGTCAAACTTTATTGAGGGAAATGATTAAGTCTGCCCTTGGAGGCACGCCCCTTACAAAGATAGTGAGAAAGCAGGGGACACTCAGGCAGAGGTGAGGGTTCTGGCAGGACTTAGGACTAGGAATAGTGGTGGGGACCTCTGCTGTTAAGGTCATTGATTATTTGCTATTACAAGAAGAACCCAGAGTGCTGAAAGAGAAGTTGAAGGTACTATTAGAAGATAACTTAGATTTGCAAGAGGTAGCCACTAGGTTAGGGGACGAAGGATTGAAATACAGACTAAAACCCTCACTTTACACAATTTAATTGAAACTGCTCTTAATGTTCTAATTGATTTTGTTAATAACGAGACATATGCTGACAAGGTGGGAACCCTTTGCTCGTTCATGGCAACTGCTTTATATATTAACCTGCAGGTGCAACTGTTGGCCGTGCGGAATGGGTTCATCCCCTCTTGGGTCACTACCAAACTGTTATCCAGATGGATGAATAACCTAAGAATATTCCCCTGAATCTGCGAGATTTGTCATACGCTGTGTGGCACGATGACCACTTGTCCGGGAACAAAGAGCTACTATCGATCTTGCTCCAAGTACCACATAATCCTCAAGATACCTATCCTCTGATAAGGCTGTACAACATGGGCATACGAAACAGTTCTCTCCGGGCCACCTTGAAGCATGCCCCGCAATACACAGTTCATCGGAAGGACAATAGTACGGTGGGCATTAGCAAATGCCCTCATGCCCAGAAGCGGGTGTACTTAATGCAACGGGAATTCAGTATTGCAGTCCGTGTGCGGACTACACCATTACTCTGACTGTGATGTCCAGTGGACGAATTAACCTGGTGCTGATTTCGTTTCCAGTTATGGGATAACTCATGTGTCCACGTCTACACTTGACGGTGCAAGAAGTGTCCTTTACCAGGCAACCACAGAAGCTCCAATGGCCCAGGACATTACTATCGACGCTTCCATTAAAACATCTCCGGCAACTATTCCGAATGGGACTGTGCTGCTGCGAGCCGTACAGCAGCGCACCCCCTAAATGAGTCAAATTAAAATACCAAGGCAAGGCCTCGTGAGGACATCCACCGAACTGACGCATAAGTGGCATAACCTGACAGTGATCATTATGAGGGAGAAAGAGGACAGAACTCAGACACTGAGTGTTCACCGTTGGTGGGTAAGCCTGTGGAACTGGGGGTTAAATGTGAAGGTCCATCAGTGGGTCCGCATTGTCTCGTTATTATCCAGTTAGTTATCTTGCTTATACTAGTCGTGTATACTTGCCTGCTTAAGACGTTGCTTACGAAAACTACCACTAGACAGGAGCGAAATCATACTGTAGATAGGGTTGCCGACCAGTTTAGAGATAGGATCTCACAACAACCTCGACACAGGGGCGTGTGTGCAGCTATTGTAATACTGTTGTGCACCGTGGGCCAAAAGCTCGGCCATGGGCCAAGAGGGGGTACTGAAAGGGAAAGAGTGTTTAAATGTAGATTTCTTATAGAAGTATAGTTTTCTTACAGATCTGTAGTAAGGGTTAAAAGTAAGGATTGAAAGAGCACTCGTTGCTGCTGCAGAGACAGGGAGATAGTTGGAAGATTGTTCCCAAGGGAACACGCCCCGCGATATTCCAGGACGGAAACAAACTAGTCTGCAGATGGTAGTGGCACGGGGGTCAGGGCTAGGCACGATGAATAACTACAAGTTTACTTTTGATAAAGGTTTCAATGGACAATAGCCCCCAGTGTGATAGTGTAGGGACTGTAGACCACTAATAGTAAACTGTGTGGTGTCGTTAGATTTACTGCTCATGCTAGATGTGAATAGTAATTAATATAGTTTCGGGGTTGCGTCAGCCTGTTTGTTTAACAATACAAAAGAAGTATTTCCTTACCACTGTATTTGGAGAGTTCAAACTGCTGAGTGACTCTTGGATCCCCTCCCCCTGCATCTACACCGGTGTTTTGTTTGAATAAATTTCTTAAGTGCCGCTTTACTTTGCTGTCTCCGAGTCTCTAACTGCCTTTACAGAGGTCATTCTTACACACAAATAAACGGACAATAACTAGGTATTAAGGGAGATGCTCCTTTACATATTCCTTGATTAAGAACAAAAGAGGCAAGTATCCCTTTCAGTTATGACACTCCAAACCAACAGCGACAGATATACCATAAATCAATAATTGTTACAAGCAATATTCAGGCAGGAAGTTCAGGGAAACCCAGAATACAAAACTTGATTTAATCAATATCAATTTCTACTTGAAAAAGTTCCTTCATGGAATTTTTGATTAACTTTGACATCTGTAAGACTATTGGATATCAAAATCATGCCTAATATTTTACAAAGTCTAGCAATTGGGCAAAGCAGAAGCATGCATTCAGGAAATGTTTGGCTACAGGTTCCTAATTCAATAGATAAATAATTCACATTTTTTAGTTACCTCCATGCTCCAGAATTGAATGGAACCATCTTGATGCGCAGATAACAGAACAGGATCAGGTTGTAATACTGAGAATATTCGTTCGTTAAAATCCTCAGTTGAAATTAAGGCTGGTGTCACATCTAACTCTACCAATTAAAAAGGAAGTTTGATCAGAATGTCAGTTTCTAATGCAGAGTGTGTAGTATTTAGAAATACAATAACATGATCAGGCAGCATCAGCATGGCTACATGAAGGGGAAATTATGCCTGACAAATTTATTAGAGTTCTTTAAGGAGGTAACAAGCAAAATAGAAAAAGGAGAAGCAGTGGATGTAATAAATTTAGATTTTCAGAAGGCATTTGGTAATGTATCAGGCTACTTAATGCCATAAGAATTCATGATGTTAAAGGTGGTGTTTTGGCCTGGAAAGAGGATTGGCTAACTAATAGAAGACTGAGAGTTGGGATAAGGGAGTATTTTCAGGATGGCAGCCTGTAACTAGTGGAGGACCAAAGGGAGCAGTGCTGGGGCCATTATTATTTGTAATACTTAATAATGACTTGGATGAGGAAAGTGAATGTACTCTTGCCAAGTTTGCATGTGACACAAAAATTGATGGGAAGGTAAGTGGTGAAGCTGACACAATGCTCAAATCATCGGTGATAGATATACCATAAATCCATAATTGTTACAAACAATATTCAGGGTCAGGCTGGAAGCTCAGGTAAACCCAAAATAGCAAACATGATTTAATCAATATCAACTTCTACTTGAAAAAGTACCTTCATGGAATTTTTGATACACTTTAACAAGAACAGAATGGTCTACTCCTGCTCTTAGTTTCAATTGACTTGAAAGTCCAAAGCATTGTCCCCAAGACTGAGCTGAATTTGAACTAAACCACAGAGCAATCATCTCACCGATCACAAAAACGTTTTTTCTTGCTAGTGTTCAGGATCTGCGGAATGCGATAACACATTGCCTCAAGCTCAGCAAAAGGCATGTGTCAGGAGTGCAGCTTTTAACTGGGGAACTGTGATATTTTCAGAACATCTGGTTGGCAGTCACTTTTAAAAAAAAAGTATCTGATAGCAAATCGACACCGATTAGACAATGGGTGATTCTACCTTGGAAGAAAGTCTGTCTGTCCACATCCTACACGGATATTTGTAATATTATGATCCCCATAGAGACTGATTTCTTTGAAAAAAAATTGAACTGTTAACAAATCACTGAAAGAATAACATGACAAAGAGTCAGCACAAGGATCTAGAAAGGTTAAGCGAGTGGGCAAAAACTTGGCAGATGGAATACAATGTGAGGTTATGCACTTTGGCAGGAAGAACAGAGGTGTTGAATATTATTTAAAAGACAGTTGAAAGCTTCAAAACAGAGGGATTTGGGAGTCCTCACGCATGAATCACAAAAAGTTAACATCCAAGTTCAGCGGGTAAGAGGGAAGGCAATAGGAATGTTAGCCTTTATTTAGAAGGAAATGGAATATAAAAGTAGGGAGGTTTTGCTGAAACAATACAAGGCACTTGTCAGATCACAGCTGGACAGTTTTGGGCTCCTTATCTAAGGAAAGATACAATGGAGGTAGTCCAGAGAAGGTTCACGAGGTTGATGCTAGGTTTGGAGGGATTGTCTTATGAGGACAGATTCAGTAGGTGTTTAGGCCTGTACTCATTGGAATTCAGAAGTGTGAGAAGCGACCTTATTGAAGCATACTAGATTCTTAGCGGTCTTGACAGGGTCAATGCCAAAAAGGTTGTTTTACCTTGTGGAAGAGACCAGGACCACAATAATCCCACAGTAAGGAGTCACATGGTTAAGATAGAGATGAGGATAAATTTCTTCTCTCAGAGGGTAGTGAATCTATGGAATTATTTACCACACTGCGCTGTTCATGCTGGATAATTAACTATATTCAAGGTTGAGACAGACATTTTTTTATCAGTAAGGGAATCAAGAATTATGGGGAAAAGGCAAATAGTGTGGAGTTGAGGTTTATCAGATCTGCCATGATCTCACTGAATCATGGAGCAGAATTGACAGATTGAGTGGCCTACTTCTGCTTTTACATATTACAGTCAATGTATTAAAATGGACAAAGGTGACTATGGATACAGAGGCCAGCAGGAGGAGGCTTTTTAAAGGTACCTCTTTTCAACATTCTGGTCAGAATATTAGCCATTTTTTGCTTAATTACTGCATCAGCTTGTTTTTTTTTTAATGATTCATTGGTTTTCCTGCTTTTGCATAGTCAAGCTTGAAACTGATTCTTTTAAAGCAGAGCTGGCAGCATGATACCTTGCAAAGTATGCGACCTTGGAAAATTTAACATTTAATTCAGTTCCATTGATTCGGAATGCTTTTCATCCAAGTGAGAAAACTAGGAATACCTTTCCACAGCTTCACATGGCACTGCTAGATTTGGAGGACAAACAGCAATTTTTGACAGGTCAAGGAAAGTCATCTGTGACTGCATCTTATATTTGCATTCAACTTTATCCAGTTCCGATATTTATTCGCCCAAGCTGTATTTTCCTTGGAAATCAACGGCTTTTTTTGATGGGAAGATCCTTCCTCCAAAGAATATTACTCCATCTGAATCATTCAAGTCAAGGATAAAATCCACCAGTCAGAAGGCAGAAACCTTTCTCGCAATTGGTAAAAAATAGATGACTTTTGTTGTGAAATGAGTCACGTCGTGTAGCTTTATTCAGGTGAAGGGGCCATCAAACGTATAGAGAGTTGTCTAAATTCAGACTGTATCAAAATATGTAAGTTTTCTTTTTATATTATTGACATGGAATGTGGACATCTCTAATTGTCAGGTAAAGATGGTAGATTTCCCTAACGTAAAGGATGTTACAGCACCAAATGGGATTTTATCGCAGTTATAAATTCAGTGATATTAAGTGCACTTTCCAGCTTCACATTTTTATTAACTGGTTGGAATCACGTCCCACCAGATGCTATAGTGGGATTACACCCCATGGATTGAGTCCTGACAGAAATCCAATACATGTTATTTTTGGTGAGTTCTGTGAAGCAATTCATCATGTTCTGAAGAAGTTACACCCTACACAAAATTCTCCAATGCTGCCAGATTCAGGGTTCTCTCTGTTTGTTTCAGAGTTACCCTTCATTGTGCAACCACAAACTGACATTACTCAGGACACATAGGTGGCAAGGCTGAACTTTATTGCATACACAGGCACACATTCTTTTAGGTATCACTGTTTAAGAACCAAGACATACAGTTTACCCATCCGTAGCCATGTTCCACCTTCCAACCATGTCTAAGTCACTGCAACTCTCTCCCCAATCTCCAATGTAACCCTGCATCTTCTCATTATTCAATGTGGGACCATCATCTATTAGAATGTCTCCAAACAGTTCAAAGCATTAAATAGAAACCAAAAGAACTGCAGATGCTGTAAATCAGAAACAAAAATAGAAATTGCTGGAAAAGCTGAGCAGGTCTGGCAGCATCGGTGGGCAGAAATCAGAGTTGATGTTTCAGGTTGAGTGACCCTTCCTCAGAACATCAGGAATTCTGAGGAAGGGTCACTCGACCTGAAACATTAACTCTGATTTCTGTCCACAGATGCTGCTAGACCCCTGAGCTTTTCCAGCAATTTCTATTTTAGTTCAAAGCATTCATTTTTATTCAAATCAGCAAAACCAAACAAAAAAGTTAACAGAAGCTGCACTTGCTACAGACAGAGAGGGACTGCTTGCTTTTGAACACCAATATGTTTCCAGTCAATGAATGATCACTGTACTCAGCTCACAGCTGCTGGAACTAAGTGTTAATTAAATCCTATCTGGCTTCTTGTGTTTTATTCTGCTGTGCTCTACCATGCTGAAGGTGATGTCCTTCCTGTTCAAAGTCCTCATCTTCCTCCTCGGAAGTCTGCTCCCTTTCTCCCAACTCTGAGATCCATCACATCCCCTCTTTGCCTGTTACACTTGTGAGTGGTACAGCACGCTAGGATTATGTGGCACCAGTGTACTGCAAGGCACCTCCAGACCTATTTGAGTATCAGGGCCTCATTTTCAGCAAGCATACAGTTTGTTCTGCTATGGCCCTGGTGGAAGAACTCGCTACATTGTGTCAAGAGAGTTGCATAACGGGAGTCAATCACCATGGTTGCAGACGGCAGCCCTCATCTCCCAGTAACCATTCTTGTGAGGCAATTGGTGCTTGAAATGCAGCAGGAACAAGAAAGTCCTCAAGGACATAGGATCATGGCAGCTCCCACAATACCTGACACAGACTTTTAAGATGTGGTATCAATGATCACTGATGGCTTGCACATTAATTGTATGGAACTTGTTTCTATTAATTAACTCAGCTGCATTATGATATGGCCCTCTCAACAAACATCTATAAGTTGAAGCTTGCCCTGAACCTAGTGAAAGTCAACAATTTTACCAAAGTTTACTGTCTGAGCTGCAGAACTGACCTTAACATAGGGAAGAGATAGTAGGAACTGCAGATGCTGGAGAATCTGAGATAACAAGGTGTAGAGCTGGATGAACACAGCAGGCCAAGCAGCATCATAGGAGCAGGAAGGCTGACATTTCAGGCCTAGACCCTTCTTCGGAAATGGGGGAGGGGAAAGGGGTTCTGAAATAAATAGGGAGAGAGGGGGAGGCGGATAGAAGATGGATAGAGGAGAAGATAGGTGGAGAGGAGACAGACAGGTCAAGGAGGCGGAGATGGAACCAGTAAAGGTGAGTGTAGGTGGCGAGTTAGGGAGGGGATAGGTCAGTCCAGGGAGGACGGACAGGTCAAGGGGG